AGCTGCCGAACAGCTCTTAGAGAGTGAGGATATTGAACGTATGGATTGGCCGGCACGATCTCCAGATCTCAATCCCATCGAGCATGTATGGGATTTTCTAGGCAGACGCTTGGCAGCTCGTACCTTACCACCAGTAACGATTCCGGAGCTTCGATTGGCGCTGCAAGACGAATGGGCAGCAATGCCTCAACAACTCATGGACACCCTCATTCTCAGCATGGGCAGACGCTGTGAAACCTGCCTAACAGTCAGGGAAGATCATATCCCCTATAAAGACCGGATGTTTCTTGCTGGACCCATCACAGGATGTTTCGGCTTTCTCGCATTGCGCTCCATGCTACTTTTTCAATAAAGCTTCTTTTTATCCCTCTGATTTCTGTTTTAATAAGTGTTGCTTACATTACTCATGTCCTTACGTATTGGGGATCTTACGGTATTAAATGTGTTGATTTGGAAAGCTTTTGTACAAAGTTATATTGAAAAAACCGTCTCGTCCTTAATTTTTGCACACCAGTGTAGGTTAGAGAATTTGTTTCAGTCAGGTGGAGAAGAAATTTTAAGTTTGCGGTGAAAGGCGACTACTAGTTTGTTGATGATGGAAGCTTCTTTTACATCTGTGTTTTGGTAGGTAATAAGTTGATGAAATTCAGTTTCAATTATTTGGCTATAAAATTGTTTTCTGTGATACTGAAGTTGCTTGCTTTGTCTATTTTGGCAACACAAAAATTCTACTTTTTTTTCCAGTATTTAAGTGCACGCCAGTTTAAATTTCTTGTAAATTTAATTTCACTTGGTCTATTCTTCTTTCTATCACTTAAAATACAATACAAAGTGAACAAAATTTATAATATCTATATGGTTGATAACTCTGAACATTTTCAGTAAGTCCCAGTAAGTCTCATGCAACCTATACCGCACATTTAAAAAAAGGGAGGGGAAGGGAATTAAAACCTGATTTCTTTTTTAAAATATTAAGTCAAAGCATATCGAAAGATAATCTTTGCCAGAAGGTTCCTTATGCATAATAAATCATGAAAACACTAGTTTCGAACTCTTTAAAATTCTCATCTGCCTTTCATCATTAGCAATGTCATTCCAACTCAAGAAACAAAAGAGTAACCAAGCGTAAGCGGATTTCAGATTTATCTGGTACTTCTGCTGAAGGGCGAGAGATGTTAAACAAATTTCATGTCATTCGGTCGACTGGGCCAAATCGGAAAGTTTCCCTTCACCTTTCCCTTTCAAATTGCTATTTTTCCATTTCTGCTATTAAGTACGGGTTTTGCAACTTATTTTGTCCTGCTTCCTTATTCAGTATCCTGCTACGACCCTTGCGCATTAGGTAACTCGGTGACCCCTCTTTTGGGGAGTTCCAGACAGCTTTCCTGCTATTTGAAAAGGAATAGTTCACTTTTATTTTTTCACCTTTATTCAGGCAGGGTATGCCATACTTAGCGCAACCTGCAAAACCACTAGTTCCTCATCTTCTTTGAGAATTTTGTTCTCCTTTTAGGCGTCTGTTCTGCAGTTTTAAATAAGTCTTCCTATTTGATGCTTTCTACATTAAGTAAGTAAATTTTCTTTGTCTTCTATATATACTGGATATTGAATTCTTTTATTCTTACTTTGCTATATTGTCTCTGTTTATGATTAGGTATTTAAAATTGAGAAAAAGGTTGGATTTTTGACTTTTTGACTTTTGGGCAGGTCTCAATGTACAAAACTGGAAACTCAGGGTAAAATGTCTTACGTTGAGTCCTCCTCCTATAATTCTTTTTAATATAATAGCTATTACTGATGAGCATCATATAAAATAATTCATGAAATAATCTTAATATTATTAAGTCTTAATATTATTTTCATCTAAAGTTATTTAAACTAAAGATGTATTTAACTTATATGTTTTATCTTCTGGTTTCAGTTGATTAGTTGTTGTATAAAGCTTGGGCATTTTTAACCAGGGTCTTGTTTTTATACAAAAGAAGGGGGGGAAACCTAGAATAAGAACAAAAGAATTTATTCTGATTATAATATATTTTGAATATTTATATTTATTCTGATATATATATATATATATATATCTATATATATTCTGATTCTGATATTAGCAACTTGAATTAATTCAAGTACTCAGAAAAGATGAAAGTAATGCAAATATTTTTAACAGTTTTTATAATATTATCAATTTTATCTCTTTTATAATTTTATCTATTTTATAATGTTACTTAGAATATGACCGACCACGCCTACCATAATCATGATTTTCACATCAATGTGACATCACGTGCGCTTCAAGCATGGTGGACTTAAAATAATAGAGACAATAACTGTGCAGTTTAGCAATAGTTTACAAATAGAAGTTTCGTTAACTTCACCAATGAGAGTGCAATAAATGATCCAGTATCTGGTTTTTCAAGAAAGGCATATAAAACAAAAATACGAATTTTTTTTTCTGCTTGTAATTTTACATTTTTTAAACGTAGAAATTAAAAAAATATGTATATATAAAAGTTTACATACTTTAAATATTTTTGAAGGTTTCCTCCGGAGCCACCACTAAAAGTGAAGCATATGTCCTGTTTGTCGTTACTTAAATTAGATTCTGCTCTCGCTCAAATCTGGATAAGGCTAACTAGGTAGCCCTCATATCCATTGCTTTAAATAAATAATCGGTACTTACGTATTAATGCAACTTCCTTGGCACACTTTGGGATTATTTTATAAATGGAAAGGTGAGAGTTACTTATCAGGTACAAGTTGGTGGTTTTCGCTCCTTCTTCTTGGGAAGATTTCCAGACTATCGATATTTATCGCAAGTCGGTAAACATTATCAACACATACAAAGAAAACATACTTTCGCATTGAAAAATAAATCCCATTCTTCTTCAGATCTTTTTGTAATTTTTTTGTTTTTTTCTTCTCCCAAAGTACACAGCGATCTGTCTTTGTTTGAAAATGCATTACAGAACTGCGAAGACTCGGCTTCGGGCAACCTTCGGCAATAGAGGCTATCTAGTGAAACACATTACCTCGTTGTTCCTTTTAGAAAATCTTCAGCAAAATTCTGTATTCCGCAGAAATTTTACGGCAGTTTCTCCCATTTCTAAGAAATTCCACAAGCTCATATTTTGAAACTAAGTTTAAGGTAAAAAATATCACGATTTGTAGATAAAAACCTTTGGAACTTGGAATGCAGCAAAAAAGAATACATACAGAAACGGTGGCGTTGCTTGACTGAACGACTGTTATGAGCTTGGTTCCGGAAGAATGGTTATACGCACGGTTTCCAGAGTTTGGTACACTCTAAAAATTTGGAGACCTCTCCTGAGATGGTTGCGTTAACACGTAAGTACCAAATAATTTAATATAATGCCTCCTGGCTATACTTCTACTCTGCAGTTTCTCAAAAAATAAAATAAAATAAAATGAAATAAAAAATTAATAAATAAAATAAACAAAAATAAATATAGAGTAAAATATGATAAAACTAAAGTAAAAAAATCGATTTTCCTTTATTTTCATAAATTTATTACTAATTGTCATTAACTATGCTTAAAATTAATATAAAAATACAGAATTTGCTTTTTCATCAAATGCAGATTCTTTGTGTTACAGTCATTTGCATACTTTTTACTCTGATGGCAACTTTTTAAATTCTTTTTAATAATTATTTGAAATATATTATGCTTTACATTCTACCATCTTATTAGGTAAAAGGCATACTGGAGCCCATTTTCAAAATATTTTTAGTTCCGTAAAGGCCACTGCTAAACATATTATAAAAAGTGACTCTATTTTATCAGAACATCCTTGAACAGTCATAATATTTTTTAGATTTCGGGTAATCAACAAAATGAAGTTTTCTTAATTATCCAAAATAAAGTTTTCTTAAACTATTTTTTATCGATCTAAAAATGGCTTATCCATTCTCCTTCTCTCACCACATGCAGTTTTGGGTAATGTTAACATATAGTGTGTCATGTTGCTTTTACAAGGCGAGGAAAAGCTTAATTGAATTTGTGACGCATGCGCTTTTTCTACCTAAGAATGTGAATTTGTAAAATTTTTCCTTTCTCATTTTTGTTTAAAATTATTTTGGGCAAGTAAGTACTACTTGTGCGAAATTTTCCGTCATGTAGAGTGAAGAACTGAGGTGTAGAATCCAATTACATGCTCCTAGCATTCATTACAGAATTTTTTAAAGCTTTCTCCTACCAGTTTATATCTTTATGGAAATTTTGTCCTTGGTCTTATTGCGGTGCATTTGTTTTACTGAGAAATGTGAGATTCGAATGCAAATATAATGAATTATGGCATTCCTTCCGTCCTTACTCTTGAAGTACAGTGATTAGCATATGCATCTAGCAACTAGAAAATACTTTTTCTAATTTGTAGCGAAAACACTGGAATTTTCGTATCTTTGTCCTATATCTTACAAATTACTAAATTAATGGTATATCAGAAATTTTATATGTAAGCCATTTTTAAATAACTATTAGCAGCACTGGATATTCTAACATTAGTACTCCCAACCCTATTTAAGATTACTACCGAAACTGTTAGGTGATTCTGGTCTTATGCCAAAGAGATTGTCTTACAAATGTGATACTTAATAACGTTATTTGTTTCTGCTCTTAGGAATACCGATAAATTAGTGACTTTTTATACGGGAGTGCTCATTGAGGAAGAGTCCTTAGTTCATACAGAAGAAAGATATCTTATGCTTTTAGAATATTTAAAGCTCATAGAATATTTAAAGCTCATTTTCAAAATATTGAATTTTCATGAAACATTTCAAAAATTATAATAACGTTAATTAATTTTCTTAAATTTTCTAATACAAGCATAAATATTTAAAACCTTCTCATTGTCATCATATGAAATTATTAGCTAACTGTAATCTATTTTTGCTGGTATTATTTAACTCTCTTTGATGTGTTTCACATTATAAGGTATTTCTCCTGTCTTCTTAGTATGCCTTTGTGGTGTAATGGTCAGCACGCTCGACGCGTATTCGAGAGGTCCGAGTCCCGCGAAGGCATTGCTCATTTTTCATCTCCTGTTTCCAAAATAAACCTATTGTCTCTACAGTGGCGCCCGAACTAAACATATCTTTCACTGTCGGGAATTCCAGGAAGTAAGTCGATTCCAGTGAATTATTTTAATGTAGTGGGGAAACATAATTTTGCTTTCTAGAACAAATCCGTGGAGTAATAGTGAACACGCTCGACACGTTTTCGAGAGGTCCAAGGTTCGAGTCCCGGCGACGGCATTGCTCACTTCTCCAGCATTAAAAAAAAAAAAAAAAAAAAAAAAAAAAAAAACCTAATGACTCTACAACCTTAAAAGCGATTCTGTCGGATAAGGAAAATTAATAATACTATTCATCTAAGTTTTGCTACAATTAGTAAAATAAAATTAAAATTAAAAATACTTTTGGAAAGATTTTTGAGACATATATAATTTTCAGCATCTTTAGGTCAACATCAGAAGAAAAATAAAAACTCATCATCACGAAGCAATGGTTTCCTCTTCCTTAGAATATCTAAGAAACCATTATCCACAGATTCTAAAAATATTACATTTAAAACTTATCATTAAAGGAAGTTTCATATGTTACAATGTCTAGAGTTTTTTAGAATTATTTTTGTTCAAAAGAAAGTGAAAGTGAAAGGAAGCAATAAAACAAATATAACCACATCAGTAAAACATCTGTTGATAAAATCGAGCTTCCTTATATAACATATATTTTTTGACTCTCTGACATCCCAAGAATATCAATTACTTCTTCATCCCATTTTAGAGTAGGTGGTCAGTTCACTTCCTGCTCCCAATATAAAGTGAGGGCAATAATCATATCACGAATTCATTTTCTGAACAGCTTGGTGCTCATTTTGTTGTCTTTAAACATTGTTGATTAGTAGGTCACTCCTTAAAAATATCTTTCTCTATCCGGAATTCCAGGAAGTAAGTCGATTCCAGTGAATTATTTTAATGTAGTGAGGAAACATAATTTTGCTTTCTAGAACAAATCAATTAATTATTTGAAGATTCCATAGCTGATGGTCTAGACTCTAATTCTGCGAATGTATTAAGCTTATTCACAGGAAATAAATAATCCTGCTAATAACAGGCAAAGGGTATCATTAATACTTGCATTTTTAAAGATAATCATAGGCATATGTTAATTAGACATTAAAATTATACTAGTATAATAGTTTAATTGCCAATAAAAAACTTACTGAAACACAAATAATTAACGAAAATACCAATTTTCAAAAAACTTTTAGAAAAGAGATCGAAATTTTTTAATAGAATACGCAATGCTTGATTGATGACTCTTTCGTATTAAAATCAGCTGTTAATAAAAGTTCACAAAGTTATATTCGAATTCAATTTATTAATCATAAATAACTATTATTTTCTCAGTTAAACACCATTATTAATAAAACAACAGTCTTATTAACAGAAGATTAAATAGCGTTGTTATAAAAAGTAGCCTTGATATAGGAGATACATGACCTCAATAGAAAAATTCATAATTACATTAATAAAACTTTATTAATAAAAAGAGTGTACTTTATTTATATTAATAATATAATTTCGCTAATGAATTTTAATTTCACAAATGAGACCGAAAATTTTATTAATTTGAAGTTTTGATATTGGGTGCAGGAATGATCTTTAGAATTAATTAATTAACGTGAATTATGTATGAGGGCTGTCTGCCTAAGAGAATGCATACTTGTGAAAAGTTTTTTTAAAAGTAAACTGGTTTTTATTCGCCTTACACACGGGAAAAGCTATGAAAGCTTTAAACAGTCACCTTATTCATCTACCAGAAACAGAACCTGAGATATGCTATAAGGTACTGGTAGGCTGACGAGAACGTTCAAGAGAGAATTAGATAGATTAATAGAACAGAAATACACTTCATAAAAAGGCCTCCTAATCTTATACGCAAAGGGAAATTACTGTGATTAATTAAATGTATTAGATATGCTAATTAAAACTAATTAACGTTAGTAATAGGAAATTAATAGTTTTCCTATTTAAAACCTCTAATGTTATAAATAACATAGAAGTAAATTAGTTATTGGAAAGTTTATACATTTAATAAGAGCTGCTACCTATAACCTGGAAATGTGTGAATTCAATTAGGCCTTTAAAATCGTTCCGTACGGTCAATGTAAGATACAAGTTTTTCTGTTATATTTACAACTGCTCGGGAATTCTTTGAATTCTTGTAAAAAGGTAAAATATTTTTAAAGTATTTCAGAATATTTTACAGGTGTTCTTAGATTTAAAGGACCCATTAAAGAACTTAATCTGTGAAAATACAAAGCAAATGTGTTGACGTAATAATATTGGGAAGATAATATAATATCATAATTTTAGCTAACATTTTACAACTAAAATAATCAGAGTTTATTCATATTTTAAACAGCTCAAAGAAAATTTTAGGTTTCATTAATTTTTTTGTTTTCATTATTGCTTTCATTCATTGCGAATTAATCTAGACGTTCTAAATTAATTTTAAAACCTTGAAAAAATTTTTATGCAATACAGAATGTGACATTTTATACTATACCAAACTGTTAAAAATAATGGACATTGATTTTATTCATTATTCAGTTTCTATTGCTTTTGAAATTTTATTCCCCCAAACATTTTACTTTTTAAAGTATGATAATTAAAGAATATCTTCACGCGCGACAAAGTTTATTTTCTTATTTCTTTATAAAATCGTTTAGATATCCTAACATAATATGATAATTTTTTACAAAAATTAACATATTTAGAACATATTTAAATTCTTAAATGTACAGAAATTAAAATTTAAACATCAAAAATCAATATTTCAAGCCTATGAGTTTCTTTCAGATAATAAGCCTTAATGTTCAGTATTAGATAACTTTTTAATTCGTTACTTTACAATGAAATGTATAAATTTTATATTAAACGCAATTTTATGATTTTTTTTAAAGTAAAAATGCAAAAGAAAGGATAAAAATCAGGAAAAAAAAAAAAAAGCCCAAAACTTTTTATTATTATCAGTGCTAAAGAATAATCGCAAGCATTTTCTTTTACCGCTAATGCCATTAAACGTAGAATGTACGCCGTTAATTCTCTTAAAATGATAAAAAAAATTAATTGGGTATCTTTCCTTTAAAGACGCTGAGCATTGTGTAAGAGCCAACTGCATCTTTTAAACTTGCATTAAAAAAAGAGTGAGAGCTATAAGACGAAAGAAGTGAAATGCGTTTACTTCTGGGGAACTAGAGCTGTAATCAACGAAAGGCGAGTAAATATTCAGCATGCTCTATTTTAAGCAATTATTATATAAGTGTGACTGTATAATATCGCGTGCTACTTTTAAAATAACGGGCATCTTACCTAGTCCATCTTCCATGCATGACGGAAACGTCAATGGTGCTGTCACGTATGAACGCACATATGTTTATTCCTGTTTATGGTCACAGATAACATCTTCCTGAAATATAAAACGCTGAGAATTTATTTTTGTATTGAGAAGGGAGGTATTTCTCAGTTATCTCATAAATTTCTACACAAATGTTGAGAAGTCTAAGACATTTGTAGAAAATATGCATCAACTTTACAGCATGTTTTAATAAGCACTGCAAATATGTCTACTCCAGTTGAATTTTGTATTTTTTCTTAACTTTCTTGTTTTTCTTAACTTTCCTGATTAATTTTGCCGCGCAAAGAGTGATAGCAAAATTTTATTCTAATTAAAGAACTAATAAAATCTCAAATATAAAAAATACTCAGTTACCTAGAAAGGACATGATAAACGTAAAAGAAAAATAAATTAACAAGTATGAAAATCTGTCTCGAAATAACAATACAGAAATAAAAATTGAATAATACAGAACAATACAAAATTATTATAATCTGAAGAACTTAAAATTATAAACTAGCATCTCAAAGATTTATCTTTAAAACTTCAAAAAGTTATGAAAAAATTAAAAACTAAGGAATGTAAAACCCAGAATATTAAAAAGAATTTGCATTCTGACATTTTATATTTGTTCAGCCAGAAACGATAAGCGTTCCTTTAATTTTCATCCTGTAAGTAATATTCCACGGTGTAATGAACAAGCAATTTGTGTAGAATTAAGGAACATAGAAAAAGATTAGAATTTTTTAATGAAATATAGAGATTAAAGAATCCTACTTCATGCGTAATTTCTAATTGAAAACAATTTTATCATTTTGAAATTTCATCTACAATTTGAAATAATATTAATCGCGTATGAAAATAAATAAAATAATTAAATCTGATTTTGAAATGCGACTTTCTTGTATCTACACCCTAATTTATTCGCGCACTTAAATGAACTGATTAAAAATTCTTGAATTGTAAGAATTTAAAAATACCTAAGTAACAATTCTCTTATTAGGGAGGACTGAAAAATTTAATAGCTCATGTTTAAAACTTAACTCATATGAAGTAAATAAATATTTGAGAGCAAATTCAGGCAATAGTATTCTGACCGATAAAATTTTCTTATTTCTTCGTCCGATAAAATTTTCCTCCATTATTCATTATCAAAGTAGTGAATAATCATATTGGTGCAAAAATGACACTAACGTGAATATAACGTGTATAATCTTACATTAATAAAGATAGAACATTTACAGTAATGGAAATATAATACTTAAATCAGCTTATCTTAAAGTGTGGGCCACGACCAAAGAAGGAGTCGCAAAGCGAAATATTGATGTTACAAAAATTTAATTCAGATACATGAATTTAAAGATACATTTGTTGTAATCTTTCCATTGTCTTTAATTTAATATAGTAATATCTTTTCTTTACAGCGCAAACCTAAAATCGTAATACTGCTTTATGTTGAGTTGTAAGTTATATTTACATATTGAAAAATACCACTAAGTATATCATAATAGAGATGTGACACAGCAATTTTGACATATATTTCAGAACCAAAATATAGTTGAAATTCATAGTACGTAACGTTCTGCAACGCGCAGCATGTCGAAAATACGTTGGGAGTCTGAGACTAGTGTAGTTATAAAGCTTTGCCATTATAGTTCTTTTTTCAGTTATTTTTGTTTTATTGCAATAAATGTGTACATAGAAAAAACAATACA